ATTGCCTCTAAAATAAACCACATACCCATTAGCATTCATTTATCATTCCCCCTCTCACCCCCAGCCCTGGACAACTGCTGATTTATTTTGTGTGTCTATGCATTTGACTGTCATACAATACATGGTCTTTTCTGACTGCTTTTTATTTAGCATAATGTTTTCAAGGTTTATTCATGTAGTGTGAGTCAGAACTTCATTTTGTTTTATGGCTGATTAATATTACATTGTATGGATATACCACATCTTGTTAATCCATTCACCAGTTGGTGGACATTTGGGTTATTTCACCTTTTGGCTACTGTGAATAATTTTGCTGTGAACATTTACATACAAGTTTTTGTGTGGATGTATGTTTCAGTTCTCTTGGGTATATGCTCTGAAGTGGAATTACAGCATCGTCTGTTAACTGTGTGTGAAAGGCCAGACCGTTTTCCACAGTGGCTGCACCATTTTACATTCTCACCAGCAATGTATGGAAGTTCCACTTTCTCCACATCCTTGCCCACACTTTTCATCTTTTCAGTGAAAGTCATCTAGTGGGTGTGTTGTGGCACTTCATTATGGTTTTGATTTACATTTTCTTAATGACTAATAACATTGAACATCTTTTCATTTTTTTGTTGGCCATTTATTTGTATGTCTTCTTTGGAGAAGGGTCTATTCAAATCCATTGCCCATTTTTAAATTGGGTAATTTTTCTTTTTATCATTCAGTCATAAAAATTCCTTATATATTCTGTATACAAATCCCTTATCGGAGACATGGTTTACAAATATTATATTCCATTCTGTTGGTTGTCTTCTCTTGATGGTATTCTTAAAACACAACATTTAATTTTGATGAAGTCCAATTTGTTTATTTTGCCACTTGTGCTTTTTGTGGCATATCTAGGAAACCATTGCCTACCCCAAGGTCATGAAAATTTACTGCTATGTTTTATCCCAAGAGATTTATAGTTTTAGCTCTTATATTTAGCTCTTTAACCCATTTTCAATTAAGTTTTATTTATGATGTGAAGTAGAGTCCAACTTCATTCTTTTGCATATGGATACCCAGTTGTCCCAGCATCATTTTTTGAAACCACTGAATGTCTTAGCACCCTTGTGGACAATTCCTTGATCGTACATGTTAAGGTTCATTCCTGGACCCTCCATTCTATTCTGTTGATCTTCACTGATTTTTAAGAAGAAGAAAAAATTATTCACGTTTGCTTGCTACTTTCTCTGCAGGGAAAACGAGGGGCGTGGCCTATGATGTGGAGGGGGACCATGAGGATGACATCCAGCCATCTGGATGGACTACTGATTAGGCTTTCAGGTCTTGGCCTGGAAGATGTTAAGCATTCTTGCCCTGCAGAGAATTTCCAACTCATTGAAGACTTTCTATACTCTGGCTCCAGGCTAACTTTTCACACTAATGATTTATCATTTTTCAAATTTAGATTTCACTTTTTCAGATTCTTATTTATTTAGATTAAAAAAATTTTTTTTTTTTTTGTGGTCTAAACTTGCCTATGGAGTATCCCATGAACAACATGTGGATGCTTTTTGGACTCCTGTATGTTTCGCAACACGTGTCTTAATGTGCAACATTTATCTTATTATGTTGTATATTTAATTTTATACTATCCCATTGGAATACTGGCATTACTCTGAAACTGGAACTGGATATGACATGTGTAGAGGCCCAGGGTTGTTTTATTTTGTTTTTAAATAACTGCTGTATTTTTATGCACCTTAATGTCTGATGAAGTTGCCAAAATGAAGCCACATTAAATATATCATATTTATCTTGAGATACCATAGTAATAACCAGAAATCCTAGAATGTTGGACCTGGAAGGAACATTGTTAGTTTAATGTTTTTATAAAACAGGAAATTTAGATCAGCAAAACTCCAAAAAGGTTAAGTATCTTGCCTACAGGTACACTTAGATAATGGTAGAACCAAATCTAGTTTCTTTCTTTCTTTTTTTTTAAAATGTTTTTATGGTTTTAGAGAGAAGGAGAGGAAGGGAGAGGGTTAGAAAGATAGAAACATCGATGAAAGGGAAACATTGATCAGCTGCCTCCTGCATACCTCCTACTGGGTATCGAGCCTACAACCCGGGCATATGCCCTGACTGGAATCTATCCAGTGACCTCTTTGTTCATGGGGTTGACGCTCAACCACTGAGCCACACAGGCCAGGCTAATTTATTTCTTTATGGAATTTTTTTCAGCCCTATGTTCTTTTTGTTTGGTATCAGAGTTAATATTCTCAGTTAATTACTCCTCTCCCTCTTCTTTTAAGCAAAGTTAATAGTCTTTCTGGATTTGGAAAACCTCTGTCTACCTGGTTTCAACCCATAGTAGTGGGTTGCTTCTTAGTGCCCCCTTGATGTGTCTGATTAATCGAAAAGTAGTCTATGATTAGAGACTATAGCCTCTTTTATGCTTAATTTACTAACAAACTAATTTAAATTATGCTTTTGGTGTTAAAAGCTTGGTAAGCTTAAAGTTTAGTAAAAACCCCGCTGTATTCTGTTCCCATATGCATATCCAGCTTGAATTCAAGGTTAGACCACTGCATGCATCACTGATGACCTTAAGTGTCACACTTTGTTTTTCTAAGTTAACCTCTGCTGTGTGTTGAATAGGAACAACACTGATTAAAGAAAATGATGGGGGGGGGAATCAGATGCTAGTTCAGATTTGTGAAATTAGAAATTAGGTGTCCAGCTGGAGATGATTAATTATTGGCATGGAGGCAGGGGATTAAAGATCATCATTAAAACTTGAAGCTTAATGAGTGTTGGCTCTTTTGGTGTGAAGGGAAAGCTTTAAATTTTCATGAAGCAGTTTTGTTCAGGTGAGTAGTCACCCAACAAGATAAACATTTATAATTCTCTCAAATGTGTGCCTTTCTGTCTGTCACTGAATAAGAGCTGGTTAGGGGACCTGTGTTCCCTGCAGGTCTTAGGTGGCCTGCCCATGAGACGCCACCCATGGCAGAGTGTCAAGCCCTATGCTCTCTTGGTGGTATGTCCCATTCTTTTTTGTGTGTGTGTAATATATTTTATTGATTTTTTACAGAGAGGAAGGGAGAGGGATAGAGAGTTAAAAACATCGGTGAGAAAGAAGTATCGACCAGCTGCCTCCTGCACACCCCCTACTGGGGATGTGCCTGCAACCAAGGTACATGCCCTTGACCGGAATCGAACCCGGGACTCTTCAGTCCCCAGGCTGATGCTCTATCCACTGAGCCAAACCAGCGAGAGCATGTCCCATTCTTTTCTGTCATCATGTATTTCAGTTTGTGAGTGTGTATCTGTATTTAATTTAGGTTGTTCCGTGTTCTTTGTTGTGAATGGCCCTGACAAGTCACTTCACTATTCTGAGCCTCATGTTTGTTTGTTTTTTATTTGTTTGTTTTTAAATAGTTTTTAAAAATATATTTCTATTGATTTCAGAGAGGAAGGGAGAGGGATAGAAACATCAGTGATGAGAGAGAATTATTGATTGGCTGCCTCCTGTATGCCCCACACTGGGGATCGAGCCCACCACTCAGGCATATGCCTTGACTGGGAATTGAACCATGACCTCCTGGTTCATAGGTTGATGCTCAACCACTGAGTCACGCCAGCTCAGCTGGGCCTCATGTTTTTGAAATATGAAGAGATTGAACTGTGAAAGTTTCTTCATTTTCTAATATCCTATGATTTAACTGAACACTTTTTAAAAATTGAATACTTTTTATTTGATGTCATGAGTGTTAGGGTGAATGACCTTTAATCTCTCCTGCTTGGATATATTTTCTGAAATATATTTATAATAATAAAAGCATAATATGCTAATTAGATTGGACAGCCTAACATCCTTCTGGACAAAGCCGCAGCGGCTGGAGGGCTGAGGGCAGGCAGCTGCAGCAGCTGGCAGTGGCAGCAGAGGTGGGGTGATGGGGGCAGTGCCTTCCCCTGATTGGCCCGGTTGCCTCCTGCAGTAGGACATGCCTTGAAGGCTTCTGGACTGTGAGAGGAGGCAGACCGGGCTGAGGGAACCCCCACCCGAGTGCACAAATTTTTGTGCAGTAGGCCACTAATATTGTTATAAGCCTTTTCCCGTACCTTGAGGCAGAAAGCCAGTGCCTGCAGAAGCAAGATAAGAACAACTCCCCTCTGCCTGACTGACCTGTGCACTCTCCTTCCTTGCCTCCCTTGACCAACTCCTGCCCTCCCTTCTGCTTGACCGACTCTTGCACTCACATCCTGACCCTATATTGCATATTTTTACCCTATGTAAGACAACTTAACCACCCCTCAGGGCTGACACTGACACACTGGTCTCAGCCAGCTGTGAGTGAATGCAATAAAATTTCTTAAACGCCTGGCTCCTTTTGGCTGGGACCTAACAGTGAGGAATAACAATACTCATAACCAAAAAAAGAAAAACAATTGCAGCTTTTAACAACAAAAAGCAGAACTTCGCCTGGCTGGTGTGGCTCAGTGGTTGAGTATCGACTTATGGAGGTCGTGGTTTGATTCCTGCTCAGGACACATTCCCAGGTTGCGGGCTTGATCCCCCAGTAGGGAGCGTGTAGAAGGCAGCCAGTCAATGATTCTCTCTCATATTTGATGTTCCTATTTCTCCCTCTCCCTTCTTCTCTCTGAAATTAATAAAACAAAAAAAAATTTTTTTTTAAAGCAGAACTTTAACTTGGGTTTCTAGAACTTACAGTTAAGTGTTTATGGAGGTGCTGAGAGGATAAGGAGAATTTAGGGTAGATTTGTTCAGTGCTCCCATTTTTTCGTGTATTCTCTTTAATTTTTTGGGAGGCTGTTTCTATGTATATTTTATAGAAGCAAGATGTGAATGTCACACTTTGCACTGTCCAGCCCTAGACTGGACCCTGGGGTCTTCTATCCTAAGCTCCTTAGGAGAAAATTGTCTGTATAGTTTGGCTTGGTATCAGCTGGTACTGAGCTCAGTATCCAGTGTAACTCTTCCTGTTCTGTTCTTTCAGGTTGGATTTACATTTGGCAACCTGGTTGGAATGTATCTGGCTCAAAATTATGACGTAAGTGACCATTCACTTTCTCCATGATTCCGTGTAGTTGGCTTGTAGTGACTTGTCTTTGTTGAAACAAGGTGAGCCTTCCAGCATAGATGGGGTCCATAGATCTGAGGGAAAAGTCTTGAATTTTGGAGAAAGATTTTCCAGTCACAGAAGCCTATCTGTCCTTTATATCACCACAAGAGGGCAAAATCCCATCACTTTAGATGGTCTCGTGGTGATGCTGAGCTGTGTTTGTTAGCCCAGAGTAATAGTAGGTTAGATTCTTCTTAATAGTTGTAGTGCATATCACGTGATCAGTGAGAATTTAAAAATTGATAGGATAATCTTTTCAGTCCCCATACCCAGGAGTAGAGATGACAGAATTTTGGAGGTTGGTTTATATCATGTAGCACGTTCAAGGAGGACAGAGTTTTGTGACATGGGGCATTGTATTAGCCTCACTTTATAGATAGGGAAGTGGAAAAATAGGTGGCAAAATTGCCAATGAATGGGGATTCTGGAAAGGTAATGATTGTTTTAAAGAGACAAGGAAATGAAACATGATACTAACTTTTGTAGTGAAGCTTTTAGTGTGACAAAGGGAATTCCCTCTGTCAATCTTCATTTAAGTCATATGGTGCTGTATCCAACTATATCACATTTATTCTTTGTATGTACAACTTTTACTTGGTTCTGGATTGAGGGGCTAAGTGCATCTATAAAAGTCAATGCCAGGGTCTGGCTTCCAGGGAGGGAGCATACTTTACCTGACATCTTCTGAAATCCTTCTATTGCAGTCCGCAGGTTAAAGACACCACTATTTAACAGGTCACTTTCAGAGGAAAATAAAACTTGTACAACAACCACTTATCTTTGGAGGAAGAGAAGTCAAAGCATATTGGTTAGTTAGATGCAAAATTATAATAATGTCTTTTTTCTTTAAAGATGCCAAACCTGGCTAAAAAACTTGAAGAAATTAAAAAGGACATGGATGCCAAGAAGAAACCCCCTAATCCATGAGGCCAACTCCAGCCCAGGCTCCAGGAAATCCTGACT